AAATGAGGATTAAGAACGATAAAATAAAGACGATAATTCGACCAAAGTGATTTTCTAATGTCAGTCGATTTATTCGTTTAGATCTTCGGAGTTATTAATTGCTAAAATTGTACATTGCGATCTTTATATATTGCAAAAAAAAGTGATTTATATATTGCATTGCGAATTTTTTTATTATTACAAAAATGTAATTTAAATCAATATATATAAATTATTCAGGACTAAACGAATAATCGAATTAAAACATACTTTTATACTTGTTCGATTAGTAGAAGCGTTAGAAGCATACCCAAGATGTACATAGGAACCTCTACGAGATTTATAATAAATTCTCAAAACTATAAGCTTGTTTGTTGATCATTTCACCGAGTAACTCCATAAATTTTCATTTGTGTAACAGGAATAACTCTTGAATTTTAAATATGTTATTGTGTATGCTTTTCTTAATATATTACATCAAATGATGATTGTTATAGTTTATATCGTTACATTAATAATTTTTGATATTTTCAATATTTTATATTTTTGCAGCATATTTTTTAAAAATATGAACATATGTTATTACAAAAATGTAGGACAAATATATAGAAAACTTTTGCCGATGTTATGTGAAAAGATAATATATCGAAAATACCGTTCCAGCAATGAAAGCGCAAAAGGATGCAAAAGATATCAATATAAAGTCTCGAGAGATTTAAACGAGTAAAGAAATAATCTCATATTTCCTATTTGCTTTGATCGTATTCCAGAAATATGGCGTTAAATCATCAAAAACGAGGAATGTATTTCTACGTTGGATAGATGACCTAGATAAACTGATATCAAACCAGTTGCAGATTGTTAATCACATTTAATAATTTAAATCTTTAATAGTTGGATGACGTTTATTCGTTTAAAAGCGCCATCATTCTTATTTTAAGATCATCTAATTTGACATGTAACATAATAATTTAAAATACAATTGCTAAGAGATTATTGTTTCGTGAAAAAAAATTAAATATAAGGACGTTATTTTTATATAAGGACATGATGAATGTTGAATTAAACAGCTAAAATTATTAGAAATATTAATTTATATCATTGATAATATAAAATATCAAATTGAAAGTATTATTTTTTTCATATATTTATGTGTAGATCGATAAAAATGTAGTAATTATTTGATGATAAAATTATTAATGCGTACGTGAACGAGATTGGAAACAAATTCTTAAAACATATTCTCGTCTCAATTACGTACCTTCATAGTTCCTTTCAGACGAAATTATAACTAAGTTAAGTAACTATAGCTGCTTAAATTTGATTCGTCAGAATTTTTATCTTGATATCAATTTTCGTAATTAATATTATTCCTTTTTTTCTCTCCCTATTAAAGAGGTCCTACAATTATTTCGAGATATGTGTTAATAAATATGATAAATATATTCCGCAAAATATTTTTATTGTTAATGTACATGATTTTAATATAAATGTGTATCGATTAAAACAAACAGTAGTTTTGTTATAACTATAAAATAGAACTTTTCGATTAAGATATGTCGGTTATATATATTATGAGTATTAATTTAATGTAAATTTCATACATTGAGCATTAAAATCTCTTAGCTTAGATACAAATAATAATATGTTAATATTTCTTAGCATTATACAATTTAACTGTCAATTTTTCTATTTAATATTATATTCTTATATTTTCTATAATCATATTTTGATTATAACAGATATAAATATGTTTGTGCAATCTGCTCAAGTTTCGAGAGAAGCCTAAAATAAATAATCAAATTACAAATTTTCTCTTCATATAAAATTATTAATCGAAAAGATAAATACTTTTACAGATGTAATTATCGAAGAAACTTAAGCTGTCTTATAATACATTATAAAAAAATACATTATGTCATTCACGAGAAAATAATAAATATTGTATTTAATTAATTTTAATTAATCTCTTATTAAATATGACAAAAATGTACACTTTTTTATTTAGTAATATGAGTATTTAATTTCTTATTTATTAAATATTATGTAATTGTTTTCCACTTCTTTTTTGAATTAAGTATCATATCGGTTGATACAGTCAATGTCCATTTTATTTCTTCTTTATTTTTTCTTTAATAAAATATAGATAAGACCCGTATAAATAAGAATGTAGCGATACACCGCAACATCGTGTCATACTATCCTGAATTCTTGATTCTGCGGTCAGTGGAGCTACGAACAACACGCCCGAGATATGATTCTGAAATTGAAGGTCCGATTGCGGCGTCAAGTATCAACGGTGTAGAATGCATATCATAAACGCGAATGAAATTGGAGTATACTGCGGTGCAGCATCCCACGCGGGATTGTCTCTGCTTTTCGTCGCGTACATTCAATTAGCGAGTTCGAGTTCGTATATTTCTCTATTTTTGTTGTCAAATTACAATTGCATTTCTGAAAACTCTGCAGAGAGATGTTTATATATTTCGTAAATTGGTAATTGCATATCCAGATTATTCATATAACGTACTATATTTTATAATTATGCGTATTGTGTAAATTTTATTGAGACTTTTTTAAAATATCGCATTTCAAGACATAAGTTTTTATGTGACTTACCTAAATGAGTATATAATTATTTTATTATTAATTTACGCTTAATTAAATTGTTAGAAAATTATTAGTTCTGTTTACCTGATAAGTGTGATCAATTCAGTGAACTCCCTGTGTATATTGAAAAAAATTTCATGTATATGAAAAATATTTTCGCATCATGAACATGTTTTTCAAAGACAGTTCTGCATTCGCTTTTATTCCTTTTTTATAGAAAAGTTGCAGTGCTTCAGCAAGTTAGCACGATGGCTCTGTGAAGACAGGGACCTTGACAGCCTTCCCGAAGCCCTGGCCACAAGACTGATCTGATCCTAGTCCCGTGCGGATCCGGAGAAGCATGATGTCTTACTTGCACCTCTCTGCGGAACTCCAAACTTTGCGCTACATCGAGTACCAGCGGCGTGGAACGTGCCAGACACGCCCAAGCCAAAGTGGAGCACGCGGTGGCGTAACTCTTGACCTCAGCGCATCCACGCAGACATGGAAAGTCGTACAGTGTCCTCTCCAACTGACTGACCACCTGCTCGGCGACCTCACGAGAACCGGTTTGTACCCCGGAAATGGCCAACTGCCTTTTAATGCATTCCTCGAGCTCCGGAGAAGCCTCCGCCGTCTGGGCCGTGGTCACGCCGTTCAGGATCTTCAAGGCTTCCAGGCGCCTCGATGTCTGGACCATGCCAGCCAGACGCCACGAGAGCTGTAAAAGGTAAAGACATGACAGTTAAGCCTTTAATTCCGTTCTAAAATATGCATATCGCGCTATATAAATGTGCGTGTAAATTACGCGCGTCTGTTCGATGAGACGCTGCGAGTTATTTCCGCAGTTGCTTATTAAGACATTCAAGATGAATAGAATGAATAGAATAGAATGAGGAAAGAGTGGCACATACTGCGACGCAGTACAATTATCGTGAACGGATGTTAAATAGAGATTAGAATTGAGGGTTTTAGAACACATCCGTTGATTAATGACATTAACATATAATTTAATTTATATATTTCACATCGAGATTGTTTTGATGCAAATAATTGAATAAGTTTCTTGTTTGCGGAAATTTTATGATATCATAATATCAAGTTATCGTAGTAAAATATTTAATTAACATTAGTTTGCGAAAATTATTAAACCTCTATGTTTTATCTGAACTATTTTATTACTTTTATTAGATATCTAAATTTTTGCAGGATTATAACAATTTTTATGCTTTACAATATATTTTAAAACAACAATATTGAAAAATTTTAAATATTTAGCTAATAGCGAATTCGGTTGGACGCATAACTAATGTGCACTAGTGCATATTGAAGCCATTGTACACTGATTTAATCCGTGTAAAAGTAAAATGTAAATATTTCGAATTATGAAATACAGATTTCACTTAACAGCACAATAAAATATATTGAGAATTTTGAGAAATCCATGGTTTAATCCATTTTTTTATATTTACATTAAATATACATATTTTTATACGACGTCAATTTGTGACGGCTTTAATGTGCAACAGTGCGCACCGAATGGATTCAATCGAATTCGCTGTAAGATTTGAATTTTTATTCCAAGATTGTTAATGTGTTATGATGGTCGCAGTAAAAAGCTTGGTCAGTGCACACTGAAAAAAGAATTTAGTTGTAGCTATCAAATGTTGAGTGAAATAATTTCAATCAAATGTTCAGGTAACATAATCAAACATAATTTTACTTTTAAAAATATTTAGTAAGTATTATTAAATGGTATTACCAATGGTAATACTAAAATTTGTAAAAAAGGTAAAATTGTGATTGTAATTATGTATTACCTGAATATTTGGTTGAAATAATTTCATTCCAATATTTGTTGGTTATTATAATCAGATTCTTTTTTTTCAGTGCGTTTTTAATATAATTTCAGATATTAAATAATAATTTTTCTTTAATTTTTTTGTTATTGTAAAAATTATACTACTCTGAAAATTAATATTGTGCGTGCGTGCGTGCGGGCGTGCATGCGTGCGTGTATGCGCGCGCGCGCGCGCGTGTGTGTGTGTGTGTGTGAAATATTAAACATACTTATACTCAAATCGTTCGGACATGATAGAATATAAAAATTGTTGTTAACATATTTTATCATTTCTGTATTTATTAAGGTATATGTCAACTGTAATATACGAAATTGCAATAGCATTAAAAATCGCTGCTACAAGCTTTAATTAGATTGCAGTTTTAATTAGGTTACTTTAATTAGATGACATGAGAGCATGTTTCTTATACGTTTTTCTGGTTGTCGCATAATTATAATTGGAATTTCGCAGAATCACATGACATGATAAAATTTTCTTCGTCGTTTGATTCACAATGCTAATTTATGAGCATTGTTGATAAATTATTACTTTTAACAATGGCTCGTCATGAACGGCTAACTGTTTATTTGATACCGTTATAGACGCAAATGATTATGATTGCTATATTATAACTTGTGTATTTTTTACTTAAATACTGTTATGAATTTGAAAAGAAAATTGCCAGATTTAATGAATCGGTTACTAACAAGGAAACATTTCCATGTATAAATCTTATAATGCCAAAGCTATAAAGGATTCCATTTATCACGGCAAATATCTCGAAGAAAAAATATGAAATACAGAAAAATGTTTCAAATAAAAGTAGAACGGTTTCGAGGGAGACGTATTTTGATCAAATGATCATATTATTTTTTTCTTGATGGAGACTTCAAAAAGATACGAAAGTCATTTCCACTTTTCTAAATGGAATTATACGATTTTTTTTACATACTTAATATCATTTCTGTAATTGTTCATATAAAAATTAAGTAAAGATATTAAATAACCAATAGTTTATTAAATATTTAATATTTCATGTCAATATGTGCCAAAATAAAATATTTCGTAAACAATTGATTTTTTGATATCTCTATACCTTAATACTTTTATATTTAAAATAATTAGAGAAATCATATTATGTGTAAAAAAAATCATATAATTCCATTAAGAAAATGAAGATTCTTCTGACCTTCGTATCTTTTTGGCGCTCTTATTGAGAAAAAAAACTATACAAAAATATGTCTGTCTCGAAATCATTCCATTTTTGTTTGAAACGTTTTTCTGTATCTACTATATTTTTCGAAATATTTGTAGTGATAAATTAAAGTGAAACTGATTACTTCGGTAATCAATAAGTGAAATTCGCCATTTATAAGCTCCACTTTTGCAACATGAGCAAAAAATGTATCAAGTATTCCCGAATTTTTATGTATTGTTATTTTGTCATTTTTTCCTTTTTAGCAAATTGTAATTTTTTTATTATATTAATTCAAAATTTATAAATTGTTAAAAATAATAGAATTAATATATCGAACATGTATTTAAAGATTGCTCTGATATATGTTAAAAATGTACGGTTTATGTCATACATTACCTATTATATTTTCAGTGGCACTAACAATGTATATTAGAACATAGCAGGAATTTCTAATAAAATACTTATAATAAAATAATAAAAAAGAAACAAAAATTGCCACTTAAGAATAAACACAACGTGGTTAACGATATGCAAAGAAATTTTTATTAATATTTAACAAATATGCATACATTTCGACCAATTATTTAGGTTCTTATTGCTCAATGCAATACAAAAATATAATCTATTAATAATACATAAATATACCGAATAACACACAGCAAATGAATTATGTATGAAAAGCGCATAACGTCTTGTATTATGATCATCTAATTATTGCAGAAGTCAAAGTTGTGAACAAGAAAAAGTCTAAAATAATAAATAATTGTATTTAGTTATAAGTATTTTATTAGTTATAAGTATTTTATTAGAGATTTTTTTATACTTTTTAAGTTTACAATATACAATAATTAAAAAAAATAATTGAGATTTCCTAATTAAAAACTAGTCCAATATAGTAATTTAAAAAAACATTTGAAATTCCCTATAATTAAACAATTAATTAAATAAAGGAAAATTCATGGGCTAGTGGGAATCGGCGCTCCAATATACACTGACGAAAACTTATAATATATTAGATAAACTATATATTTTTAAACATATTGGAACGCTCTTTAAATATTTGTTTATCATATTGATTCTATCATTTTTTATCGGTTTTAATTTACAATTTCAAAATACTAATATAACCAGAAAAACTACATTTTGCTAAAAAGCAAAAATTGACAATAATATGGCCAATAATGTGTGTGTGTGTGTGTGTGTGTGTGTAAAAATTCGAATATACTTTATACTACATACTTTATTTTTTGCTTATATCGCAAAGAAAGGCTTAGAAATAGTGAAATGGAACTACTTATTAATTATTTAAATAACAGATCTATATAAACTTGGCGTTATTGTGAGATTTACACTTGAAAGCATTCTCTTGTAAAAATAACAGACGATATATTTTTCATTCGTTCATGTACCCATATTCTGTATTGTTTAAAAACAATAAATATTTCCGAAGTTGATTCATGAGAAGTTTAACAACTTCGACTTTAAAAACTCAAATATTCTTCTGATTGAACATTAAAATTATAACGTTATGGAACTTTAACAGAATTCTGATTAATTCGTGCTCTAATATTTTATTATTTTTCAATCAATAATCTAGAAATATTATAGAGAGTTCAAACATGAATAAAACTTTTTTGTTGTGAATACAAATTAGCATTAGTAAAATCCGATTGTACCAATGTTACTCTGACTTTAAGTGAGGCTTAAAATTCTCTCTTTTTAAAGCTGAGAGAGAGAGAGATGGGGGGAGGGAGAGGGGAGGAGAGAGAGAGAGAGAGAGAGAGAGAGAGAGAGAGAGAGAGAG